CCCCAGCCCCCAGACCACCACCGTCAGGCCGCTGTTGTCCAGCTCGGGCAAGTTGTCCACGCTACCGTCGTCGGAGGACAGAGCTGACTCCCCTCCCTTGCCGCCGCCCCCTCCTCCCATCGCCTCCCCGGACCTCGAATCGCTGGCCAGTGAGGTGTCGGGTTCCACGACTGTTTCCCCGCCCGCGACCGACGTCCAGTTTCCGTCAGACGTCACAACTAGAGGTCAGTTGGTTGGATTAGATCAGATCAGATGAGAAAAGACCAGATAAGACTAATCTCTATTGTTTAGGCACTGGCACATTGGCTTGGTGATTCAATACACACACACACACACACACACACACACACACACACACACACACACACACACATTCACACTCATATGTGAAGCAGCATGGTGACCTGAGGCGCCAAGACATACAATGAAATCCAAGAAAACAGCATTTGGGGGGGCTTTGGGCGATATTTTTGTAAATTTTTTTTCTATGTCCATTTGAGAACACATTTCTGTGTGGATTTTACTGAAAAATGTTGATTAAAGGCACAAAAATGTAATTTTTCCATTACCATGGACTCACAATCTAATAAAATAACCAAACTTTGGCCCCCATTTTCTCGCTAATTCTACCGGTACCTCTGAAATTAGGCGACCCCCATCTCCTTTGGTGGCAATTATCTCAACTTGAAATTCAAGACAAATGGTTTTCTTTTCATCAAACCCAAGACAACGGAACAAGCTTTATGATGATATCAATAACTCCACATGTCCAAAAATTGACGAGCGCCTGATTCCACCTTGTCGTGTCACAAATACTCTCTCTCACATCCAGTCTAGCACACCAATATCAGTCACAAAATACCCACTTTCCCCCTTAAACAGACTCGCCATGATATCCAGGTTGTAAATGAACAATTCAAAGTAATGATTATAATGTTAAACACTTTGCCATTATATTTTGGAGAAAATCCAAAGAAACTGTGTGGTAAACATTGCCAATTAATGAGACGAGATGAGACGAGACGAGATGAGACGAGATGAGATGAGATGAGGCGGCAAAGTGTTCAGCCAGATACATGATAGGATTCTGATATTGTTCCAATCATTTTTTGACAGTGAAGTCATCCAAGTTTTGTGGGTGATGGTAAAACTGACCTAGTGTACCTTTGTGATGTAGCAGAATCTTGGGTTTGTGGCTGCCTGTTGATGTTTTTGTTGAAAGGAACAAAAATATGTGTGCCAAAGAAATGGGATGAATATTTTGAGTGCAGGAGATGATGTATCATTGGTCGAAGTAAGTGAACGTAAATGAGCAATTTTTTTCATGCTTTCTTCGTCAATCTGTTCAATTTTCCTTTGTTTTGATGTAAATGTGGAATTTTTTACTTTCTTTTTGCATCAAGCTTTTCAATGTTCTTTTGTTTCGATGCCTTGACATTCTGGCTGTCATACAGAAATGAATCTTACTTTGATCAGGTGAAGGTCGCGCCAATGAGATCGTGAACCGATCGCCGGTGTACCAGAGAGGGAGAGACCCAGGGAGGTACCCCCAGCAGCACCTGAAGGAGCTCAAGAGTGACACGCAGAACGCCTTCTCCAAAGCCAGGGCTTTGTTTGGCCAGGGAGACAATCAGCCGCAGCACAGTCAGCCGCAGTACAGTCAGCCGCAGTACAGTCAGCCACAGCACAGTCAGCCACA